TCCATAGGCACTGCAGGCCCCCTTCACTGCCACCAGTGAAGCGCCCAGCAAGCCCACTTTGGCCTCCCACTGCTTTCCTCGGGTGCTGAGCTGGAGCACACCACACACAGGCTGGCCACAGGCAGGATTTCCTCCGCACCCCTTGCACTTCCCACAATGACTTGCCAATGCAGCCCCGCACCAAGTGCTGCTGCTTCTCTGCCCTCCTGCCTTCCTTTCTGCAAAGCTTGCTCCCTCCCCAACATGGCCAGGGTTGCGCTACAGAGTAAAATCCATGCACTGCAGAGTAAAAAGTAGTGCACCAAATCATGCTAGCCCAGCTTAGCAGAAACACTGATTGCTATATTTATTTTCTGGCACAGAGGACCACTGTTTTTATTGGGATCTAAGAAGTAGGGAGAAAAAGTCCTAACGGACTGTTATTTTATTCCTGGCTGTACTCCAGAGTACAGCTGTCAGCCACAGAGAAAGCTGGATGCCATAACATTTCTCAGCTTGACAATTTATTGGTCAGCCAAAAGATTTTGTGACCTGCATATTATATATTAAGTGGTGCTTTTAAGATCAGCATGTATGATAAACTGGCCCAGTTTGTGTCCAGATCAGATTGGATTCTGGCACCCTAAGGGTGAAACCACTGGAAGCCTCTGATAGTCAAATCCTGGCTTCTTGAGACTCTCTAAGACTGTAAGACTCTCTCCATTTTGATCAATTAATATAAAAATTCCAAACTGGACTTCAAATACTGAACAAAGGAGATAGATAATTTCTAGAAAAACTGGGAAATCTTGTGAGTTTTGTTAACTTCTTGTGTTGTTCTTTGAGAAGTTATGTTTGTCTTTGTATTTACTAGCTACAATCTTCTTTTAATTAGCTTTCTTTGAGAGTTGGAAATATGCATGCAATATGTTACATAGTTAAGTATTTTTGTAGCTGCTTGGAAGTAAACAAAACCAATATAATTGATATTCTTGTTCCCCACCACCATCACATTCAACAGCAGATCTCTGCGGCATTTCCCAAACTACTTTTGAGATTCCACTCCTTTTAAAAGGAATTGCCGTTTAGTACGTGCATGGGTATTAGGGAGCCATTGTTCAAAACACAGTCCCAAAGGCCTCACCCCAATATTTGGAGATAATTGTGCAAATCTTTGGATTGCAGCCTGCTGTCCTACTAGTTAAGAACACATTAACTTCACTTTGTTGGGCCCATATCACTCCATTGGTTATCAATCAGTTACCAGATTCAATTAAAGGTTCTGGTTATCACCTGAGAAGCCCTTAATGAACCAAATACCAAAGCTTTCTTGAAGCTGCTACCCTGCAAATGGGTAAAACTGGCACTGCTTTTTCCCGTACATTCTCTGTGGTGGTTCCCACCTTGTGGAATAGCTAGCCAGAGTAGGTCAGTAAGGCCTCATACTTCTATCATTTCACAGAATGTACCGAACAGAGATGCTCATGAGAATATTTTTACAATGGGATAGAATGGAAGTATAATTGGACAGTACAGGTCACTTCTATAAGGGAAAGTATTGTGGTGTGTTGTAAAGTGTATTGTATGTATGTATCACTCCCTGTATTACTGTGATGTCCTCTACCTTTCTTCATCATGTTATGTCATACTTTAGACAGTTTTTCCTTTTCATTGTTTTCCAGTTCTGTAATCCTAATCCTACTGCAATTGTTTATTCAAGGTCTTTGCTAGCTGATTGTATTCTTTTCATATTTTGTAATATGCCTTGAGTCTCAGTGAGAAAAGCAGTCAATAAATGAAATTAATAGTAATAATAATTCTGTGCCCGATTGGAGCTGAAATATTTCCAAATTACAGTTTAGTATATCATCTTTTTCGTATGAATTAAAACATTCTTGTTAACCATCAAATCAACCACATGCTGGAATTAATGCGAGATATCGTAGGGTTTCCATAGTTAGAATAAAGCTTAATTTGTAGATAAGAAAAGGCAGAACATTCCATAACTTTATTCCAATGCACCTATGTAGATTTTCCGAGTTTGGGAGTAGCAGTGCTTGGGATCAAGGGGGTAGCAATCATGCACAGGTATCACTGTGAGACTACTTTAGGCTGTGGGGTGGCTAGAGCTGCTAGCTTACATTGCCAGATTCCTAAAGCAGCAGGGCTTGTGCGCTCTCTCTCTTGCTCTCTCATACATACACATATAAAAGACACGTACATGATGTCTGTTCTCTATGTGTTCCTTGAGGAGGAATGTTTGCCTGGTTGGCTCAAAAGTAAGGGTGACTTGCCTCTTCCTTTAATAGTGGGATAGTTTCTATCAATATAATCCAACTGTCTAGACAGTAATCAGACTAAATTGATTAATTGATCACTGATTTAACTGAGGCTTCACAGTCAAGCTACAAAGCTGTAAATTTAATAGCAGAATTAGGTGATCTGCAGGAGTTCATAATATGCTGCTGGCTACTGCTAGTTTTCATGTTTATGACACAACTGTTCTGCATCATTTGTTGCCTCAGTTTCACAGGACCATGCTCCTTGAGAAACACAGCCCCCTTTCTCCAAGTCCAAAATCCAGTCTGAAGCCACAAAAGTCAGAAGGCAAAGACTGCAGAAAGGACATGGAAAGGAGAGATAAAATCACATGTTAGGCTGTAAAGAAATGTCCTTTTGGATGGAGGTCTGAGCAGAGTAAAACCTTCAGCAGGAG